TTTATAATGTGCTAGTCCTTTGCCAGTTATTTTTCATAAATAACAGCAGTAATAACAATGTGAGCGAAAACCCTGATGTAAAATTGATAGTTTCTATGAAGGTAATGGGATTGGATGTAGTAGTGGGTTATTTTTTTCTGCATTAGTTTGAGTAATTGTTTAAACATAACTAACAGTAGTGTTTTGCTGTTATAGGTCAAAAGTAACATTATTTAATAAAAAAACTGATAAAAATATACTTAAACACTTCTTCTTCTTTTGCTTATCAAGCCATACCTTGGGAACTTTGCAGAATCCTCTTTCACATTTGGCCAAGACGGAAATTAATATTTTGCACCATCGTTCATAAGTAGCCATGAGTCAAAAGTATGGAAAAGTAACTAAGAACCAGACCCTCAGATCTAATAGCCATTACTGATTCCTGGGCCTTGCCTCCACCAGTGTCTTCCATTCCCTAGAGATTTTTAATTCATATTCGTGTAATTTTAGGGTTATCAGACTTAGCAAAATACGGGGCAACTACCTACATTTGAATTTGGGGTAACAAGTACTTTTACTAGTATAAGATTGTCCTAGATATTACACTTTAAAATTGTTACTGTCTGAAACAGATTTAACTGGTCTGTTACATTTTATTTGACAACCCCAGTTATTGTGTAGCAGGTTACCAGGCATTGAGAGGTGAAGGAATATAAGGAGCCCTTGAAGGGCTCAAAATCCAGTTGGGGGTGATAAAAATTAAGGGACATGTGAGAGCGACTCCAGAGAAAGTGTGCTGTGGTGATCTGGGTACTTGGTGCCTGAGGACTGAGGCTATTAGAGCCCTCCTGCATGCTGGGTGGGGTAGTGAGGTAGACACAGTGCCTTTGGCACTGACAAGCCAAAATCCTAAGGAGAAGTTGATGGGACTGGAGAGGTACCAAAATGAGAGAATAATAAAAGTGATAGAAAGAAAGAGTCAGTGGAGGTCGGAGAAGGAGGAGAGATAAAGCCAGGTCCATCCATGGCCTCTAGAAGCAGCGGGAGAGCGAGCCTGTTAGAGACGCGGCCATCTTGAAGTCACAACTCTTTGCATCTCAGTTTTATTTTAAGGAAGAGGGGGCCAGATGAGAGTCTAACGTGACCTCTGAAAGCTCCCGCAGTGGAGTCCCAAGTTTGGGTTTTCTACCCAGGAAAGAGGGCTTATCCAGGCTTTAACTCTTCTTCCTCTCAGCCTTGCTTTCTGATCTTATGGCTGCTTTTGGAGGTCAGACCAGTGCTTTCAAGCCTCTAGTTTGATTCCAGCATGCAGTTATTATGTCTTGAAGGAAGAGGGATTAAACTTCTTCAAAGACTTTGTTTTGTACAATGCTAGTATGGATTAAACTGAAATACACTTTAAAAGTTCCTTTTGTTCATTTCGTTGCTCCGTTCCTGAATAGATGAAACAGAAGGCTGCGACTGGGCAGTATCTGTGCACCTCTTGGTCCGGCCAGAGACTCATCCTGACGGTGCTGTGTAGCGCAGAGTGGTGCTGGTGGTTAAGGTTTACAGAAGTGCACAGCTGCCCTTACCTGTTCAGTAATCCACTCTGGTCTGGGTATCAGGTGACTTCTGATTTAGCACAGTGGTTTTTAACCCTTTCTAAATTTTGGAATTCATTTGCAAATCTGATGAGTGCAACTGCCCCTTTCCCCTTACTGGATTCACATACAAACTACTGCAGACAGGGCCAGGGATTTAGCTCAGTGGTTCTGCCCCCTCCTTCGCAAGCACAAGGTCCTGAGTTTGATCCCCAGTACAAACAAAAACAAAAACATTAAAAACCCTGCTTCAGATAAATCAGGGGACATATGTATGTATGTATTTATCCGTTCATTCGGGTGGGTACTGTGGATTGAACCTGGGGCCTTTACACTGAGCTGCGTACCCACTCGTTTTTAGATTTTGAGATGTGTTCTGCTAAATTGTACAGGCTGGACTCGAAGTTGCAGTTTTCCTGACTCAGCCTCCAGAGTGCTGGGATTACAGGTGCATACCCCACACCACCTCTGCAAAATGGAAGGATTTAGAGCAGGGGGACACCTCCGCCGAAGCTCATCCACGAACATTCTGATTTGAAGTTCGCAATCCTGAAGTTTAACGATACAGTTAAACTGGTCTTCTTATTCACTCATTAATGCTTGCATTCTAAGGCGTTATGAAGGGCTCTGATCTTTAAATCTGTCTTGATAGCAGTCGTCTTGTACAACAAATTTGAGCCCGTTCTCATCTTGAGATGAAAGGTGTAACTCATGCCTTTTAAATGTTTGGCAACTACTTGATGTACCCTAGAGGGAGAACAGCAGCTACTGAGCTTGTCGTCTATATTTCTGTCACTTTAGTGTAGCTTTTAATTTCCTTTTAGTTATCCATTTACCTTCTTATCTTTATAGTCATACAACTTTCAATTGCCTTTTATTAGAAAGTTTCTTTGTACTTCAGTGTAGCCATAATCTTTAAAGCTGCACGTATTCAGCTTTAAATACCTGTGACGTTGAACAAAATGATTATTTCCAATTTTATACTTTTGGAGAATATTGCAAATGATAGCTCTAAGTAGCTTTTTCTTTTTTTTCCTTCCAGTACTGGGGATTCAACTCAGACCTAGTGCTTGAGTGGCAAGCAGAAGAACCACTGAGCTAAAATCCCCAGCCCAAGTAGCTTTTTCATTCTTGTCCGAGTTTTTTTTTTTTTCCAGCTTTAATTGAGTTTATTGGTACATTTTAGGGAGACACTACAGTTACATTCACTGTTGGGATCTTGTACCTCTACATCACAAGTCTTGGTTCTCATTTTTTCCCCTTACCCCTGCCCTCCCTTCACCCCCTCTTGTCCGAGTTTCTTAGGTAGATTTATCTACGGTGGGAGTAATGACGCATTCATTCATTCATGACATTTTGTTATGTGCCTTCTCTGTGCCAGGCCAGGCCAAGGATGTGGCCGTTTACATGGCCTTCATGTGCTTTGCCTTCTTTTCCAGGGTGCTAGAGGGCTTGCTGAGTGAGCTCAGAATTGTCCAGCCCAACAAACAGTGCTTTCTTGTTACTCGCTCAGCTGGTGAACGTTTACAAGTAAACTAGGTGATACCGCACAGATGTACACATCTTATAAATAACCTAGATTTATTTAAATCATCTAGAAAATTTTAAATTGAAATTTAGTTAAAGTAAAAGCACCAGACACACTTTCATTAATGTATGTAACCGTGATTTTGTAACTATTTCTTGAATGCTCAGTATATACTAGAAAACCAAGTGCTGCATGCTCTAGATGAATGGAAGAGACAAGCCCGTGAACACACGCGTGCCCACCGTGGTGGGCTCTGTGAGTGAGTCTGTGTCCCTGGTTCGGGGAGCGGGAGTTTCAGCAACCCTCTGCCTGGAAGTTTTTACTGTGCTTGAGAAAAACCCTTTCTTCCTCCCTTTCCATAGTTTACTTTCATGTCTTAGGACAGGAGGAAACGTATAAATGACTTAGTTGGAGTGAAGACTTAGGGTCATTTTTTGGTGGGGGTCGGGGTCTCACTGTGTAGTTCAGGCCGGCCTTGAACTCACTGTGTAGCCACCGCTCTGTGACATCTTGGTTCGCCCTGTGCAGTATTTGCTGCCGTCGTCCTCTTCCTCCTTGTAAAGCTCTTTCATGCTTCTCTCAGCTTCTGAGGCCCCCAAGCTCTGCTTTTTCACTTGTGCCTGCGCCTCATTTCTAAGTGCTAGGTGCCTCCGGACCTTTCATCATTCTGCTTGCACCTTCCCGGGATGACCCCTCGGCCCCACAGTGTAGATGAGAGTATTCTAACCTGATTTCCAGTAGGGTCTCCACACTGATTTATATCCCCAGTTCTATTTTGTTTTGTTTTGTTTTTAATTTTGAGACAAGGTCTTTCTCAGTTGCTAAATTGTCCAGGCTGGACTCAAACTTAAGATCCTCCTGCCTCAGCCTTCCAGAGTGCTGGGATTGTTACCATGCCCAGTGAAGGGATAGATTTTTATCTGCTTTTGTCACTGTTGTTTCTCCAGTGCCAGGGCAGTTTGTGCACATAATAGGAACCTAATAAATACTTGTTAGACATAAATACATTCAGCTCATATGAGGCTCCCAAAGTTTTTCTTTAAAGCAGTGTATTATAGCTCAGTATTTTCTGCATTATAAGTGAAGTTTCGTGAAGGCTTCTGGTACAGCATTTTCAGTTTACTTTTCACTGTCTGCATATATTCTTCTCTTGTTGAGTTTGTCTTCAGATCAGGATATCCTTGGGTCACTAAGAGAAGGTAGGTAAGTGTATAGGACAAGAAACAGGATAGAAACGAAAAAGGAACCCTGGGAATAGTATTGTTAACAGTGGTTTAAAAATAAGCTTTCTTTTTGGTGACTTTCTGATCTCATTGTCCTATTTTGACAGTTGTTAGCAACTTAGGACCATTCTTTAAACACCAGCGTTTAGTTTGCATATTGTCTGTGGTAAAGAAATAACCAGTTTATAGTGGTTAAGAGCACAGATCGATCTTACTCTGGGCATCATTATTGTGTGTGAACCAACTAGTTCTCTTCTAATTCACTTTTTGTGAATGCCTGAAATTTCGCCATTAGTTCAACCACAAATTTATAAATCGTGAATAACCTCGAAAGGGAAAGTGCATATTACTCATTGGCCGTTGGTTATATCTTAGTGTAAAGTGGTTAACTAGAGAAGTAACTTGAGTGGTAAGTAACTGAAAGTATTGATTGGGTGCATAGACTCCCAGCAGCCCTGGGTAGCCAGATGACAAGGCGTACCGTTCAGGAGGGTGCAAGGGTGCTGCTCTGCTTGGCCAGCTTTGTCAGGAGTGGTCCCTGCCTCAGCCCCGTCCTGGTGGACTGCGGCTCCTGTTCCAGGTGGCCGTGCTCCTGGGCACTGCCGAGTGAGCTCCCTTTGACTTGCGGTGTGGATCTTGTAGAAATAAGGCTTTGGCTCACTTCATTCATTGCTTGTTTGTTTTTAGGTATCTTGCAATATATTCAGAACTCTCCCTCCCAGTGACAGCAATGAATTTGATCCAGAAGAAGACGAACCTACCCTGGAGGCCTCGTGGCCACACCTACAGGTACTCTGAACTCCCGTGTGTGTTTATAAAGGCAGAACCCACGGGCTCACTTCTCGGCTTAGCGTGGAATTCCTTGACAACCTGTATTCACCAGGCAGTGAGCCTAGAACACATTAATGGGGAGCTGAAGAGTGCTTTTTGCGCTTGGTAATTAGGATACCGAAAGGGTAAAATAGTAAGTTGCAGTGCAGTGCTGAATCCTCGATGTACTTCTCCTGTTACAGGTCCAACTGGTAGACCACTTTGTGATCTCACGCACCAGAGTCTCAGAGAATAGAACCATTTTCTCATTAGTGCTAGCTGGATTTGATTAGTGTGGGAGGGCAAAACCAATAGCTCGCTCTTCCAGGATCATAAGAAAGAAACAGCTGAGAAAAACCCTGGGTGAAGGCCTGTTTTGTTCTTTGTGACGAGAAGGCCAAGTTGTCCAGTCACAGTGGGGTGCCGGACGGGTCTGGCATCCCGCACTCCCTCCCATCACGAGGCCATCTGTGTTGGTTACTGATACGGCCTTGCCTGCTTCCCAGCCCCTCCTCCTATGCTGCTTGCTCTCAAGGCCGACGTCTCTCAGAAGAATAGACCATAGAAATCCAAACCCGAAAGCCAGTCCATTGCCTCAGTGTCCTTAGAGACTGGGGGACAAGGAGCAAGCGGGTGGGGATGGAGGAACAGAAGCACAACCTGGCATCTCCACCCTGAGATGCTGCTTTGCAGCAGTGTGCTTAGGGTCACTGGTTGACACTTTAAGGAACAGAGAGCTGTACAGTGGGGAGCCAAGGCCTGGAGATATTTTGAAAATTTGTGTTTTCCCCTGCTTCAGAGTTTTTAACATAAATTTGCAACTTTGCCTGTCTTACTTTGGCATCCCTAGTTTGCTTCAGTTGTGCACGTATGCTGTTTCCCTTAGTTATGCCAGCCTGTTCTGGGCTGTTCCTCAGTTCTTACTCAAATGCGTATTCCCACTAATGCCAAGATTGGGTATATTAAATTAGCTGAAACATGGTAGTTGATTTATTATCTTAGATAGTAGATTTTTTTTTTAAGTGCCAGACATTCTATCTGCAGTCTAGGCAATTTTAAAAATTGTTTGTGCTTTTCACAGGTATACAAAAGTCCCAAACATACTCTTGAGTGGGTAGATTTTTTGGCATGACTTATATTTAATCCTTGGCACTAGTTCATTAAATTACAGTTTAGTTAGGAAGAAAAAATTTAAATAGATAATCTCCTCAGGAAAGCTTCACATTTTATGGTGGAACAAACAAGGAGAGGGAAGTCTGCAGAGCATCAGCTTGTTGGTGGGCTTCTCTGTGTCCAGCGATCAGGCCACCTTTCCCGTTTGTAAGAGAACTTTAGAGAAGTTTGAATTCTCTAAATCTTCCTCCTTATCAATATAAATTCCCCATAGAGTACAGTAACGTTTGACTCGGAATTTCAGTTAATTCTTCCTGGAATTAATGACTCTATAAAGTATAGGAGTAGATTAATTTCTGAAGCTGCTAAAATGAATTCTGCCATCAAAAACCTCTAGCTTACATAGTCATTACTGCAGGAATATTAACCATTACTTCCTCTGAAGCCCTAAAGCCAAAGCGGCAGTGAGGAATGGTGAGGAGACTCACGCACCCTTGGATGTCTTGTCACAGGCTGTTACAGAACGGGCCTCTGTTGTCTGTGTTGACATCCTGTTCAAATCTGTAATCCTTCTGGTGCCTTCTTTAGCTCAGGGGGAAATACAGATAAAGCTTTATTTTTAAAATAAGGCTGTGAAGGCAAGTGAAGGAGACATTTTTAAAATAGACAAAATAATATTAAGTCTACAAATTTTTAGTTTCAGTGTGTCAAAGAGGTCTACTGTATGGGTGTTATTTGATCTTTTCTGTTATCTCTGCTAGTACAGTATCTTTTACTCTGCCATGACTATTGTTTATTTATTTTCTGAAATTAGATCTTCCAGTAGAACACAATTTTGAAGGAGTTTCATTTATAATTAAGGAATTGTTTTTAATGCTTTACACTTGAGACAAAAGAAAAAGAAAAAAATCCCCAGGAATGTAAAATCCTTTTTGCCCATGTTCCCTGGAGAATTTATTTATGTGATCTTGAAAAGTAATTTATCCTCCCGTGCCCCCAGTGCTCCTTCCACTCTAGGGAGATGTTCGATTCTGAGGTCTAATCTGTCTCTTCAGTGCAGAACACATTTGTGTTTGTTAGTAAGGTATCTGAAGTCTTTCTACCACACCATTTTAGACTACAGCTGCCTTAAGGACCTTGGGGGCCAGAGCACCTTTCCAGTCCCTGTGGAAAGTCCTGCTGGCCAAGTCTGCCTGGAAGCCAACAAGCCCTGCTCTGGAGTATCTAGGACAAGACGGAACCTCCTTTGAAGAAGCCGTTTGCCGAGGGCTGACATTCTGTTTGTAAAATGAATTGTTGAAATGTTTGTGTAGTGAGAGAAGAACAATTCCATGAGTTGTTAAGACTCAGACTTTATTGTGACCAGGAAGGCAACACATGAAACTTGGCAATGTCCATACTAGTAAGAAAGAAGTTTTTCTGTATTTAGGGAATTTTAAAGTGAAAACATAGTTTGAGAAACCTAATTTAATTGTTAAAGTCTGAAGTCACAAGGTAGCAGTAGGTTACTGTTATATTTAGACCCTCCAGAGCCCTGAGTCTTGATTTCCAGGGGCTCTCAGATCAAAACTACTTTTATAATAGTACAGTATTGTTTTATTTGCCTCTTTTTCTATATTGATTTGCTATTTTACCATTCACAGTATTGATTGTAAAATCAGCAGTGGTTAAAGTTAAAATTGCTTTTGGGATATGGACATGTACCAGTCCCCCAAGATGAATATAAATGCCGTGTATTGCAAACATAAACTAAAAACAGATGCTGCGGTGGGAATAAAGGCACCCTGTTCAGCAGGTCAGGTAGTCATTCTGTTCCTCACTGCTGTGCACTTGTGATTTTGAAAGCCTGTTTCCTTGGGAAGGTCCTGAAAAGACAGTAAAAGCTACTCATTTCATTAAAATTTGGCCCTGGAGCACATATCTTTAAAAATATTCCGCATGACGAAAGGGTAGTTTGCACATTTCCCATGGAGAGCACACTGGGGTACAGTGGTCACTGTGTGGATGGACTAGATTTGTAAAAAAATGGAAACATCACTTTTACTTAACAGAACTAATCCTTCACCTCACCTGTAGTTACTAAGACTTTGGTATTTGGTAGATATTTTCTGTAAAACAAACAAGAAAACCAGTTGATAGTATTTATTACCACTGGTAGTATTAGAGCCTTCAGAGCAAAATTTAGAATTAGAAATTTAGAAGGCCTGAATCTGTTTTGCATCTGTTTCTTTGAGTGTTCCAGCTTCCCAAGATTAAAAGTCTTATTCCTGGGTAAAGAATGTGGTTTGGTTTTTTTAAAGATTCTATGTAATGAAATGTGCCAATGTTGGAAAGATTTGTATAACTCATTGAACCAGTATTTTCCAGTTGGCAAATGAATGATATTAGGAAACCCTCATAGATAATGATCCATGAAGAATGCAAGACAGACAGTTGGATTTAGTGTAAAAAAAGTGTGAACATTTCATTGGTACTGCTTTCGATTCTGTATTGCAGCTAATCTTTAAGAAAATAACAGTGTATTGAGCTTTAGTGTAGTATCAAAAAATACCCCCAATTATGTGACAAGATCATTAAAAAAACACTTCTTTTTTTTCCAACTGGTAAATCGATAGAGGGTTGATTTTCTTTACATACTTCAACCAAAACAATGTATCACGACAGATTGAGTACTGAGCAGATGAGAATCTGCCTTCTATTAAACCAGACATTAAAGAGATTTACTAAAAAAGAACACAGTGTCCTTATCAATCATTTTTTTGAAAGCTATTTTTCAGAAAAATATGCCACTTATGTTAACATGTAATACATTTTGTTTTAAAATGAAATATTGTACCACTGACATACATATCTTTAAATTTCTCAGTTTTGTTCTAATATATGTGGCACAATATATGTAATGCATAGGCACACGATTATATATATATATATATACATATATATATACACACACACACACACACGTGTGTGTATATATATTATATGTATATGTATGTATATATATTATATATGTATATGTGTATGTGTGTGTGTGTATCTATCTATCTATCTATCTATCTATATATAAAATCTAAGTAAAACCTTTAGAGGGGGTCCCAGTTAAATTTGAAGTATGAATGAGAGAGACTAACATGTTTGCAAATTCAGTATGACAGTGATTACATGTACTGCATAGTAGTCACTGTAAAAAGTGTCATGTGCAACCACATTTAATTTAGGAATTAATATTTCTATTATAAAATTGATATAGCATTTCAGAGAAATTAATATGTTAGAGTGTGTAATAGGAGATAGAGCTAGTCTTTTAACCCACTGTCTTAAGAGTACCAGTTTTAATAATGCTGTTATAAAGCATACCAGGACCTAAGTAACTTTTAACACAGATTTGTTATGCAGAGAGAATGATCCCCCATAGTCAGAATAGTCATTTGAAGTTGACTCTTTGCAGAGGAGGACATTGTATTATATATACCTACGTATATTTCTTGGAGGAGTGTAAATTGTCATAAACTTTTTGAAAAGAAGTTTGGTACTGAGTATCAAAAATCCTGAATGTTTGGGTGTCTTGATCTAGCAATTCCACATTTAAAAATAATTACTAGTGAAATAATTGAAAAAGTACAGATTGTTGGGTATCTTACTATGTACAGTATAGCATGATTTCATAAAAAATTGAGAAAACAATTAAATGTCTGCATATAAGAGTGACTAAATAATAAATAATGGAAATATTCATTATAAATTTTGTATACTTACAAGCTACTTAAAGCTGCTAAGTGTTGGCTTACTATTGTTGATTTAAGTTGTTCAGCATATTGTTTAAATGACAAAAGTAGTTTGGCAAACTATATAAAGATATAATACATTGGTATATTGTAGAAGGAAGTCTTGTATATTAAAGTATTAACAGTGGTTGTCTCTTAAATGGTGAGATTACAAGGGATTTTTTTTTTTTTTTTGCTTTGTTTGGCCATATTTCCTAATTTTTATTTTTGACAGTTATAAAAAAACCAATATGTTTTTGATTGATAATAGAACTTAGTTTCCTAAGCCCTGTCAGTTTTGGTATAATAATCTTTATGGTTTTAGTGAATTTGAAATTAAGTATAATCTGTTTGTTGCAGCTTGTATATGAATTTTTCATACGATTTTTGGAAAGCCAAGAATTCCAACCCAGCATTGCCAAAAAGTACATAGATCAGAAATTTGTATTGCAGGTAAGCAAATTCTGGTGCTTGTTTTTCTTTGTTACAAAGTTGTTGACGCTTTGTCTTATATTCTCTTGGTATTTGTTTAAAAAAGCTCTCACAATGACAGTTGTGTCATCTTATAAACAACTATATACATAAGTTAGTTTTTATTGTTGCCTTTTAAATAGAATAGGTGCCTCTTTAATTTATTTGTGATGGAAATTAATTACATTTGAAACAGCCAAGAATGCTAATGCCCAAATCCCTATAGTTTTCTTCTTTAAAGTTAATTATAAAGGAATTTCATTTATATAACCCTGGTTTGTGTGAGTCTTTGTATAGCTTAGAAACTTAGGTTTGCATTAAATATTCTTTTGTTTCCTAAGTTTATTGGTACATTTAAAGCAAACAATACAGTTACATTTATTGTTGGGATCTCGTACCTTTACATGATAGTCCTTGGTTCTTATTTTTTCCCCATACCCCTGCCCTCCCTTCACCCCCTTCACTCTTCAGTATTTACAAAGACGTTTCCATTTTTTCCTGCTTTAAAGATTCTTACAGAACATTAGATCTCTTAAAACTGGGAAGACAAGCTCAGATTACTGAGTATAAATAACCTTTAATAAATGATTGAAGTAAGAGTACTGCAAAATTACTCAGTTGTATAGTTTAAAATGTTCCTGAAAGATGGTGTGGTAAAAGCCAGGATTTCGTGTTTATAGTGTTCCCATAGGTGGGGACTGTGATTTTATTATGAAAAGGAATTCTGTCTTCTGCCTTGGGATGTTAGTGAACTTCTGGGGGCTCCTTTGTTGGATCTTGCCCTAAGTGCTATAAACCGCAGGATTATTCATCAGTTCTAGAGTTTTGCCAAAGATAATAAAGCATAAACAATAAAGTTCATTTACATAGTTTATGTTTTCATTCCATTCATTTCCCCAACCTTTGCCTCCCCCTGCTTTCCTCTCCTCTTTAATCTTTAGATTCCGAGGGTCCCAGCGCCCCCTGGAGGCAGGCCTCCATCCCCCTGACCTCCAAGATGCCTGCCTCAGAGGCTTGGCCTTGGAGCCCCCCTTTACCCCATCCCGCCCACCTGTCCGAGCTTCTCCTGTCCCTGGGCTGGCAGCTCCTTCCAGCTTCTGCGGGTCTCGTTCACAGCGCCACCTTTTTTCTGTGCGCGGGTTCCTGAGATCACCTGGTCGTAGTATGGTTTGTATCCAAGCCTAGCTCTCTTGTGACGTAGAAGCCTTCACACTCTTCTTTTTGGAAAATCAGGAGGACATTTAACTTGTTCCTTTTCTTTGGGCAAATTTCTTATTTTCTATAGATTCTTAATGATCACTGAAAGAGTTCTGGTGTTTTCACCTCACAACTTCTTTAGTGAGCCAGACATAATTTATTCTACTTATGAAATTTAAATTTATTTTCTGTATTAACTAGATGCATTCTTTACATTTGTTTCCTGCCTCTCGCCCTCTGTCAGTGGATGTAAAACTAAAATAAGAATTGAACTACTTTGCTATCAGGTGGTGGGAAGTTAGGGAGCTCTGGGTTTGAATCGTGAGTCCCGGTTTACCGTGAGAACATCTTAGGAGCTGAATGTGGAGCTGTGGAGACGGAAGAAACCGCATTCAAATCTTCACTCTTCTGTCTGCTTGCAGTGCGGCTACCAGCTGCACATGCAGGGGAGACCTAAGCCCGAGTGTCTTCAGGCAGGACTTGGGGGTGGTGGGATGAGGGACTCTTCAGTAGTATGGGAACACCCCAAAGTGACAACTGTTCAGTCTGTTTAGTTTACTGGGCAGTATAGGTACAAATAAAGAATCCCTGCCTTCATTTTTAAGCATAGTGATAGTCCTAGGCACACGACTGTTCATTACTCTGAGATTCACTGTCTTCTTTAATAAAATGGTACAACAGACATGTCTGTTCTGAGTCACAAGGAGACTTGTTGGGAAATGAAATGATTTGTTTAAAATGTCCGTTCTTGTCCTGTGAGTGGCATAGTAGTTGGTTATTGAATATGAATTTCACTTTACACATCCTCCTCATTTCTGTCTGTCCACACTGGTAGGATATTTTATTTTATTTATTTAATTTTTTTGGTACTGGGGCTTGAACTCGGGACCTTGTGCTTGTGAGGCAGGCAGCAGACCCACTGAGCTAAATTCCGGCCCGGTAGGATATTTTACTTTTCTTGATTCTGGTATTAATTTTAAAATTTTCATCTTTTGAAAAATTTTTTTGAGTGTTGTTGAGTATTGAAACCAAGGCCTCATGCATGCTAAGCATGTGGTCTGTCACTGAGCTACATCCTTAGTCTTGATAAAAACTTAAAAATGATATAAAACAGTAATAAAATCTTGCAAAGCAGGTTCAAGTAACGGCAGAAATGTAATGTATTCCTATATAGGAATACTTGCCATCATGAAGATATCCATATAATCTCTAAGTTAATTGATGTATTTAGTGTGGTTCTGATTAAAATTTCAGTAGCTTTTTATTGAAATTTCAGTGTTCATGAAGTAAAATTTTGAGAAAAATGACTAATAGAGTACTTTGCCTATCAAATAATAAAATTCTTTGATTCATAGCACTCCAAAAATTATAATAAAACATACTGTAAATGTAAATTAAGACTTGTATTGAAACAGCACACTGGAATGTAATAGACACCTGGGTGAACATTCTTCTGAGTATGTCATAAAACCCATAAGAAAGTGAACCAATGAATAAGTAAATACGTAGGCATAAACATACATATGTAGTAAATAAATTAGTATAATTGTTCTGAAGAGGAAATCTGATGGTACTCTTCGCAAGTTTTTTTTTTTTTTTTTTTTCTGGGGATTGAATTTAGGACCTTGTGTTTCCCAGGCAGGTGCTGTGCCACTGAGCTAAATCCCCAGCCCTCTTATCAAGTTTTGACCCAGCAGTTCAGTGAGAAAGAATCAGCTATATACATAGTGGTAAACGTACAAAGGTACTGATTGCATCATTGTTAATAAGTTGTTCCTCAGTAGGAGTTGGTTGAATAAACTTGTGAACATTCATAAAATGCAGTGACCGTGAACCTATGGCATGTGTGCTGCGGTGGGCCGTTGGCACCACTGACAGCTCTACAATGTTTGCTGTTGCTGGTACAGTGCAGTACTGATCAGTTAGTAGAAAGATCGTGACAGGCCCCTGTGATCTGTGAAGTGTATCTTGCCTGCTGTGGAATATGCTAGATTTTGAGCCTGTGCCAGTTATCTTAAGAAGGATGTTTGCATTTTTGTTTTAGTCTAGTTGTGTTGCTGTAACACAGTACATTAGTTCTCCCTTACCTGGAAGGGCTGGATCTAAAGTCCTCTGACACTGTCTGGATAATGAGCCTGCATATAAGACCTGTGACACAGTGACAGTGGATCTGATAACTTAGAGGGCTACTAAGTTACAACTGGGTGGTTATCATACTTGTAACGTGGCTGTGCTGGACTCAGAATGGTGAGCAGCTAGCATAGAATGAAGTGGGACAGTGGGAGATTTCCCTGTGCTACTCAGTGACATGCAGTTTAAAATTTATGAGCTGTATATTTGTGGAATTTAATATTTTCAGATCATGGTTGACTGTGGACGACTGCAAACAGAACTGTGGCTGGGGTAGGGGCCTACTGTGCCTGAGACTGGGTATTTTATAAAGAGCAAACATTTTTATTTCTTACAGTTTTGGAATCTGGGAAGTCCAAGACCAAGTGGACTTAGCATCTAGTGGGGATAGTTTCACTGTGTCCTCCTGGGGCAGAGGGTGGAAGGGCAGAGTGTCTGGGTCCATTTCCTCAGTCCATGGGTGAGGGTGGAGTCTTCAGGACCCGAGCACTTCCGCAGAGGTCACCTCCCAGCCCTGGGCATTGAGGATTAAGTTTAGGAAACACAAACTTTGGGTGACACTTTCAGCTGTAGCAGCATACACTAACAATTTTGGAAGGAGATATATCAAACTGTTGTTAACTGCCTGGAAGGATGTGCTTATATCTTCATGTATCATATATGTGGTGGTTTTTAGTTTCTGTCTTACAAGGGGTGATAGAAAAATATGGGAAGTATTTGAAGTAAAAACTAACTTGCTACACTTAAAAATACATTGTCAAGAATCATAGGCTAAATGTATTGCTAGTGTTGGAGAATATTTTGAGGGAGAGTGGCAGTGTGTCTTCACTGTATTTTTTAGTTTAAACATTCCCAGTATTTTTGGATAACACTTCATTGAACAGATGTTTATGACAGTTTCTGCCAACATTATTGTGTGTCTGCATCACCTTATATACTGGATGTGATTTCTAGCTCTTTCCCAAACTGAAAATAGCCATGAAAGGTAAACATTTTGAGTTGATTTCGGGCACTCAGGGAAGAGGACTTCCAGAACTGTTTCACCAAGTGAGAAGAATGAGGAGATAATTGTGTTTGAAGTGAAGAGGAATGTTTTGAGGGGGATTCATGACAGCGTGCCTTTAGTAATTAAAAGTTTTTAGATGCTCACCATATATTTTGATCACACCTCATATATTGCATTTAAAGACAATGAATATAATGTCATACAAAGAATTGTGAGAAGGTTTCAATTACAAGTGCATTTTGATTTTATCCTTTACATTTTTCATAAAGCTCTGCTGATTTTGTGCAGTAGCCTTCTTAAGATTGTTTTTGGATCATTTGCATCATTCTCTTATTCCTGATATTTATTATATTTCCTTCCTGCCAGCATTTGCATATGTCCTTTTAAAATACGAAGCTGACGTGTTATCTCCAGAGGCTTTTTCCTTGGCTTTTCATCTACATCGAGAAGCAGTGTAGATTGGTGGTTAAGTGTAGAGACCGGTTTGAAGCATGTAACTCCTCCATGCCTCAGTTTTCTCACCTGAAGGGCACATGGAAAATACCCATAATGATAACATTAATTACATTGTAAGGTTATAGAGATGTAATGACTAAACATTCCAGAAGTGCCTAGAAGAAGGAGTTTCTCTCACCGGGGTAAGGTTTAA